TTCCAAGGTACAGCTTCGATCCCCGAGTGAATCTATCGATGATGGTAAGCAGGTACCAAAACCTTTGCAAATGGTAAAGGGCCACGATATCGATATAAGGTGCTTGAAACGTTGATTGGGAACTTTGAATTCAACAGCTGGACATGGTATGTTTGTGAATTTGGCTCGTTGGCATTGCAAACATGCTCTAGACCACATCTGACAGTCTTTGTTTATGCCAGGCCAAATGAATCTTTTTGTCAACAGCTTCGTTGTTGCACGAATCCCAAGATGGGATAAGTTATGTATAGAAAGAATTCTTGTTCGCGAAATTCTTTAGGAATGTATGGCCTGTTGAAATTAGTGGGGGTATCACAGTAAATTTTCTTATTGCTATCCGGAATAGAAATTAGTACTATTTTGAAAGTGGAATTCGATTTGAGAATTCTGAGGTCTTCAGCCTCCTGGCAATCTGCTATAACTGTATAATCAATTGGAGCTGGATAGCGATGGTGTCGATTCTCGATAGGTGGTCAGCTACAATGTTTTCTTCTCCAGAAATGTAGCGTATGTTTGTAGTGAATTCAGCAATGTATTCAACGTCGTACTTGTCTTGGAGAGACTTTATCTAAATTCTGGTGGAAGGCTTAATGATAGGTTTATGATCAGTGAAGATATAAATGATCGTCCTTCCAGAATGTGTTTAAAAATGGCTTCACCGCTATGTAGATTGCAAATTCTCGACCGTATGCGCTGTAATTTCTCTGTGTTGTGAAGGGATCGGGAGAAAAACTTAGCGATTGTTTTTCATTATTAGATAGTGATGAATCACAGCACCCACGGCAGAATCAGATGCATCTGTAGTTAGGGTGATATGCGCCGTTTGATTGGGGTGAACTAACATTACAGAGTTGCACAGTGCGTTTTGATATCAGTGAAAGCATTCTGCGCATCTTCGGTCCAAATTAGAGGTTTTTTGCTGTTTTTCTTTACTCCTTTAAGCAAGATTGTCAGAGGTTGTTGTAGTTTGGCGCAGTTTGAAATGAAACGATGATAAAAGTTCACCATGCCCAAAAATCTGGCAAGCTTGTGAGGATTCTGGTTTAGGATAGTCTTTAATTTATCGACTTTGGATGGAAGTGGCTTGATTCCTTCCGTGATATTTATATCCTAAAAATTCAACTTTACTCAAGCAAAATTTGCATTTTACAATGTTTATGCACAGTCCATAGTTATTGAGTCTTTGGAAGATTAATTCTAGATATTTTTTGTGTGTTTTAGCATCTGGAGAGGCGATGAGAATGTCGTCGAGATAGCGAAATACAAAGTCTAGGCCGTTAAGCACTGTGTTCATAAACCTTTGGAAGGTTTGTGCAGAATTTCGTAAGCCAAATGTCATGTAAGGAAATTCAAAAAGTCCGAAAGGTGTTATGATTGCTGTCTTCGGAATATTAGCTGTACCCCTTGACTTTCAATCGTCATCGAAGGCCGGGGAATCAGTTTTCCTGTTTCGAGACCTGGTATTTACATGGTGGGATGCACTTGTACGCTCTCTCACCAAAGCGTTGATGAAAATAACAATTATTTGGGTAATTGTTATTTTTGAAACGATTTCTAGAATTCGACCTGTATCGTCCGTCTTTGTGGACTGGAATTCTACGCGTATTCATTTCTCTATCAGCAGTGCCAAGTTTGATATCTGCTTCTGTAAATCTTCGGGGGTAATGTTATCAGATGGGGAAGAAACAATGCGAGCTACCTGGGATGGATTGGGATTTAATTCCCATATTTTGTCAGCCATTGTAGACAATTTGGACAAACCATCACTGCTTGCAGATAAAATGCTCCGCATATCAAGAGGTAGTCGTTGCATCCACAAAGGTTTTAAAAATTCATCTGACACTTTTTGTGGTGGTTTGGTGAGAATATCAGAGATGTGTCTCACAAAAGTGATGGGACACTTGTGCTTTACAAAAGAAAAGTAATAAAATAAATTAAAAAAACATGTAAACATTTTTTGTGGTGTGTTTCGTACTTAATTTGTACAATTATTACATACATACATTTTCTCAAAATATTAAAATAATAATTAATAAAATACAATGTTTAGAACGGCGCAAAAATGGCTCACATAAGTGATGGGACACATTAGATACTACTACTTACTACAATAAATATTTTTTTGGTTTTAATTTTTTACTCAAAGCATTAGCAATAATTATAAAATCGTCTGCAGTCTTTCTCTCCAGTTTATTTTGGAATTTTTGTGTTTTTTTAGCTTGTGCAGCCATGAATGCTAAACGAAAAGAAACTTTGCCTGAAATTCGAAAAAATAAGTTATTAATTTGCATATTGAACGTGAAAAATCTGTAGAAAAACTGCTGAAACACTTATATGATCATTCAACAGTTTCAATATCATAAACGATATAAAAGAATCATTATGATTCAGGATAAAAGAAGACCTGGCCGACCATCAAAATTCCAATGGAATAAGCGAATTATTGTTCGAACATTAAAAAAAAAAAAAAAATGAATTAAAAAAAAAAAAAAGAATGAGTGCTCCTAAAGTTTCTGCTGATTTACAAGCATTATATGGAGTAATTGTTAATCCTGAGACTATTAAGAGTATTTCGATCTGCTGGATATCACGTAAGAGCAGCCAGGAAAAAATTCTTGTAAGTGAAAAGAATAGAAAACTCAGACTGGCTTTCGCAAAATCCGACATAAAATAAGAAGTCTGATTACTGGAATGAAGTTATATTTGCTGATGAGAGTAAATTTAATATATTTGGTTCTGACGGTAGTAGAATCTGGTGTAGAGAAAACCCAGGAAAGAATTTCGCAACAGAACTTGGTGCCAACAGTAAAACATGGTATGGGGGTGTATGTCGTCCGCTGGTGTTGGTCTTGTTTTTATTGACAGTATAATGGATCGGCACAAGTATGTTAACATTTTAAATCAAAATTTGAAATCTTCGGCACGAAAATTGAACCATCGTAACGATTTTAAATTCTACCAGGGCAATGACTCCAAGCACACTGCTTTGAACGTTAGAGTCTGGCTGCTGTATAACTCTCCTGGAATAATAAAAACACCACCACAATCTCCAGACTTAAATCACATAGAAAATATTTGGCAAAAATTGGAATCAAGAATTCGCAAACACACCATTTCTTCAAAAAAAAAAAAAAAAAAAAAAAAAAATTAAAATCATTGCTTCAAGAATGGGGTAAAATCACTCCAGAAATCACAAAAAACTTAGTCGAATCCATCCCAAGAAGATTTAAATCACGTTTTAAAAGTAAAAAGGAATCCAGCAAAATATTAAAAACATTTTAAGAAGTAAATTTTTGGATAAATATTTGATGAAAAAGTAGTGTCCCATCACTTATGTGCGCCATTTTTTGCTCCGTTCTAAACAATTGTTTTTATACATTACTATTTTAATATTTTGAGAAATGTATGTTATGTAATAATTGTTACTAAATTTAAGTATGAAACACACCCACAAAAATTTTTGCATGTTTTTTAATTTATTTTACTACAGTTTCCTTTCGTAAAGCACAAGTGTCCCATCACTTTTGTGAGACACTGTATGTGACAATGTCCCTCTTTCAATAGAACTGACTACATAATCGTATTTTGCTTGATCAGCCGTAATTCCAGCGTTTCGGAATTGGGCTTCAATCTGAAGAAACCATATTTTGGGGTCAGGTTTTCAAAAAGGAGGAATTTTGATGCTGACCTTGGCGACAGTCGCAGATGTTGCATTAGTTTCGGCTTGTTTACTTTCATCTCCTTCAGCCATAGCAGAATTAGGCTTAACGGAAATACAGCTACCTTTATTTAATTTTATATTTTTATAGCTTTTCCGGCTAAAGTTTGCTTAGTAAAAACTAGTTCATTTATTCTTAACACATTTGATGCATTCTGAAAATTCGAACTGCATTCATTACCGCTGAAGTTATATTGCAATATAGAACAAAATTAAAATTTTTAAAATTAATTTACCATTTTAGAAGTATTTCAGTCCCACGTACGCTCGGAATTTACATCTCACAGACGCATTAAAACAATGGATTTATTAATTCTTGATGTAATCCATGCGCACCAGAGGCACTTCGAAATCGAAACTATCAATCAATCCACTGTCAAACTCAGGAAAAAATTGCGGAACTTTAAAAATGGATAAGTAGCTTTTTACGACGCTGTCCGTAACATTTATTCGGTATATCTGGTAAAATCCTAGTATACGGAGCTGCCTTGGCGCGAATTTGAAAATTATCGCCAACACCAAAAATGATCCAAAGAACGTCTATATATATACTATACACACAAAGTATATGTATATACACACATAGTATATATACTATATACATGGTATATACTATGTTTAACTACATAATTTCTTTGAATGACCCGTTAACTACTCATCGTATATGTCCCGTTTTTACTGCGCATCATAAAGTCGCCAAAAGTAGCCAAATCCTGTGTGCACCGGATACTAGGATTAAACCCAGGTGACTATTTATAAAGTGCTTATAATGTCAGTGACATCTCCTAAAATTACAGAAACATCGTACGTTCTTTTTTTCATCAGACACTTTATAAGTTGAATTCAATCGCATCCGGGTAAACCAGTGTGGATGTCTTGAACATATGAAATGTTAAACATTGCTCTTACTCCAATAAGATTAATATTTATTTGCATTTTTTAGATATAGAATCACACAGACAAAAAATCAGTCATTGTTCTTTTTCTTCTCTCTTGCTTCATGTTGCCATTCTGTCGAAAAGAAAAGTGTATGCGAGAAGTTTCACAGATGGCGCTTCATTAACGCGAATGCCACACACATAAATGTTAAACTATAGTGAAATTTATTTGAAGAATAATTCTAGGCAATGTTATTAATTAATTTGTTGCAAATGAAAGTGACTAACTGAAGCAGAAAAATAAAAATTATTAAGATTGCTTTCGTTTGTTCAATGCGTGAACAGAGATAATACTTCAACTTCAATTGCGTGCTAGTGTTGACCTTACAGACGAAATACGGTTAATACTGCGTTAGCGAAGTACTAAACACATATAATCATGTTAAAATTAGTGAAAAATGCACATAATATAAACAACTGCGTGAAAGTTTCGCGACAAGTTATTGGATCTTTAAATGGAGAGCTTGCTGCTCCTGTTCTCGTTTCTGAAGAAAAAGTGAAAATACCGTCTCCTCCACAGAGATTAACAGAGTATAGTTTATTGGCTGCAGCACCGAAAGGGCAGTTATTTGTTCAGACAGGATGTGTTGGAGGTAAATTTTACGAATATTAATGTTCCACATATCGAAGATTTGATCGTGTATTTCAAATTGAGCTCTAGTTGTTTACATTGTGTTATGTAATATTAGCTGCATGTGTTTTCCGAATTTAAACGTCTTTAATTTTTCATATGAAGTGCAGTTGGGAGTTTTCGAAAAATATATTGTCAAATGAAGATTCATTAAGATTCGATAACAAATGCTGTAATTATAATGTAACATTTCACCCATATTGCTGTACAAGGTGCTCAAATGTACATGAACGCTCGAATTCAAATGCTGTAATTAAAATGTAACATTTCACCCATATTGCTGTACAAGGTGCTCAAATTTACATGAACATTAATGTTTGCATTTTTAATATAGACTGTTTCTTAAAAGTTTGCCTAACTTACGTTACGTACCTGTATAATATAGGTTTGGATAACATTTTCCAGGTCATTTAAAATTTTTGTTCTAGGATATGACTAGCAAATTTATAGTAGAATGAAACATTCATACTGTGAAATTAAAAAAGGGTATTGAAAATTATCGCCAACACCAAAAATGACCCAAAGAATGTCTATGTATATACTATCACTATATACATAGCATATATTATGTATAATTATATATATTCTTTGAATACCCATTTACTACTCATCATATATGGCCCGTTTTCACTGCTCATCATAAAAGTCACCAAATCCCGTGTGCACCGGATACTAAGATTAAACCTTAAAAAAGCATATTTAAGGCAAATTTGCATCAAGTATTTAGACATTTTAATACTGCTTATCTGAAATCACATCCTACTAACTAACTAATACCCACACGACAAGGAACTACACATGCAGCTTCTAAACCGTGCACAGTGCCAATGTCACTCGGATATACCATCTACATTGTTTTGTCTTACAGTTGTAACTGAATGTGGGATATTTTCTGTATTTTAGGAAATACCCTTTACTAAATGTAAAGGTTGTTATTCTAGGGTTAAATCAGTGGATCCTAAAATATGGGTTGCAACCTAGTAGTGTACTATTTGGTAGTGTTTTATCAGTTGTAAAATGTTGACTTGGAGCAGCGAGGGAACATAATGCTGTATATTTAATTATTAATAATTATGTATATTTATTTACTACTGTTTCATTATTTTCTTGGGAAAGCTCACCAGTGGCCAAGTGTAAAGTTATTGAACGTTGGTAGTTCAACCTGGGTTTAATTTTAGGCTGGTGGGCTGGCTGCATCTTAGCTTGTGTAAAAGTACTAACTTTGTTATTAATTATATGTATTATTTGCCTTGATGTTAACTTTTGTCATTTTTAAAAAGTAGCAAGAAAAAATATATCTAAAATATTTTTATAATATTGAGTTCTAATTTTTAAAATTTTTCTGTGATAGCTTTAAGTCAAGTACGTCTTGCACATACTGATGTACAGGCTCCAGACTTTGATTTTTACCGAAGAAAGGAAGTTAAAGACCCTACCAAATCATCTCGAGAGTCTGAAGACTACCGTAAAGCTTCAAGCTACATGGTTATGGCAGGTTTGTGTTTATTTCATCATTTTCCAAAATATTCTATATGTAATCATATATATATACACAATATTCTTATATTAGTTAAAACAGCTTGTGTCGGTCACCTCAAGAAGTTATAGGTATTTTTAAGAACACAAATGGTAAAATCCTAGGAGAGCCCACACCCTTGGCGACAAATTGAGGCATTGCAGAATCACCCACTGCTTCGCACATTTCTTAAAATCGGCAACTTGAAAATAACAAGTCAAAGAATTGCACAAACTCGGTATCTATGTACACATCGACCTATTTTCACTTAAAAAAAATCAGAGAATTGCATAAATTTGGCATTGCACACTCCCTTGACTTTGCCCATGTACACATTGATATGCGTCATATAAGCGGGCGATTCTGCATCAACTTGAAAATAACAAGTCAAAGAATTGCACAAACTCAGTATCCATGTGCACATCGACCTATTTTCACTTAAAAAAAAATCACAGAATTGCACAAACTTGGCATTACGCACTCCTTGACTTTGTTCGAACACTGATGTTGATAATTGTAACATTATTTTGTATGGAAGATGGTTGCTCTTGATTTCAACTAAGGCCATCAACCTCACATTAGGGTTACTATCATAAATGTGTAGTATATCTATCAAACTGAAGTATTTTACATGCTAAACAAATGAAAGCATTATATTTTCAGTTTTTCTGTCATAATATAAAGTAGTTAAGAACTTTTATGAAAAGCAGTAACTAATTTATTTATACTATCATTTGCCATTGTAGTTAAATTATTATTATTTATGAGCATGATGTTAATTACTGCATGGATTTAATTTGGCAGTCATTATACTGTACTCTTGAAATGATTCATCACATTCCTAAACTGTTTTCTTTTTTTTTAAAGTGTGTTCTAATTTGTGTGTACATGACAATTCATTTCCTTTTTAGTTTATTGCATTGACTCTTGTTGTTTTATGTTAACAGGTTGGCTTATATACGTATTCGAACTTATTGCAAGGAAAACATGCTTGCAGTGCTTATTAATACTTCTACTCCTAAAATATAATATGTATACCTGTTAAATTTCATAAGGAAGAGCTGCCAATACATTTTGAAAAATCTTTTTTTCATTGTTATTCTCTCCATGTACACAACGTTTTGCTTTCACTTAAAGAAAATCAGTGAATTGCATAAACTCAGCATCCATAAACCATCCATCTGCCGATTTTAGATTTTTTTAAGATCTGATTTGGTGCATATTTAAAGAAAACAATATCAAAAATTAGCTGAAAAAGTTATTGAATATGACATTTTTATAACCAAAAGTCAACGTCTGACAAAAATTTTTTAAGTATTTTGACATTTCAGAAGAGTGCAAAACAGTTTTGCATTGCCAAATAAAATTGTGGTTACACATTTTTAACTATCAATTTATATTGATTTTGCAGATAATTATTTTGACATCATGTTCTGTTAAGTGGGCAGAAATGTTGCAGTTTTTTGTGTGTTGATTAAATTCTGATGCAATTTTTAATTTTCTTTTTTATGTAAATACTTTCAGGAAATTTGCAGTCATTATTTTAGAGAAAAATTATAAAATTGCTTACACTTTATATAGGCTAGTGATTGCTTATTAGCTGTTTATATCTGTATGCATAAGAGGATATTGCTACTGTTAATTTGCTTTTAGTGTACAAACTAAACTTTCAAAAATACTCAAACTGTTGCTTTTATTCAGTTTGGTAAATGAAGCTATGGTGAAATGTATTATTGTTTTGATCATTTATTCATTACACCTTATCTAAATTATATATTTAATCTATAATTGGCATATTCATGTCCCATGAAATGTATATTTGATACTTGCAGTATAATTGCCATTTTTCACATATTATGCATACTTGTGACAGTAGTCAAGCCATTTATGTGCATACATCGAACCGTGGACCTCTGGAATACGTGCCGAGCATGCAAACCACCACACCACGAAGGTGTGCTAAGAAGGCGGGGGAAATACCTTATAAGATAAGCCACACCACCCCAAGGTATTCTGAAACATGGCACTTAATATTCATTTTTTCAGTAATTCTCTTCCATACTGATGCAACCATGCTTGCTAACATTCTATAATATTTACAACATAACTATAAACGGTAACATACATGTATAAAATAAACAAACCTTGCTGATTTCTAATAGACTTGGGCATTATTTTTAAGACATTATTTTAAACTTTGTTTATCGCTATAAATTGCCATATTATGAAAAAGACTATATGAATTAGATAATCAAACAGAATTTTATAACAAAGTAAACTGCATTTATTAGTACAAAAACTTCAGTCTGACTCATTAATTTCACAATTAACTGAATTTAACTAATGATCATCAAGGTCTTTTTTATCAATTAGTTCTAAGTCACTTCTTTCACTGTCGCTATCTTTATTTTAATTTTCTTTTTGATGATTTCCGATTTAATGAAACTGATAGGATCGTATCAGCTCGTATTGAGATAGCCTTACTTTATAGACCCACAAGGCTCATATGGAGCTTTTCTCATCCATCTGAAATTTGTAAAGGAATAGAGTCTGCCTTGCATCTATTCTTCTCATTGGTTTCATAGTCCATTCTAATTAAAAATTCTCTCATTGGGTAAAATCCAGTGGCTGTAAAATTTTTGTAAGCCCACCTGTTATCACTGAGAAATTGATACTAAATTTTTTCCTTCAAATTTTATCATATCCAGTACATGGGATCGCACTGAATCCAGAATGCTGGATCCCTGACAGGTTGGAAAAAAGCACCTTTCCTTTTTCATTGGCACAGATAATGACCCCTTTAGGGAAGTTTCCATTTGGAACTGTTTTTCTTTTAAAAAATATCAAAGGGTTAACTTCTCTTCATTGGTGGCATAATCCAAAACATAAGTAAAGGAGTCTTTTTGTTCCCAGTTGTTAATACAGAAATAAGTTTTTTCATCTATAGAATGAACAGTTCCGCTTGAAGGACAGTCAGTAATAGCCACTGCATCCACATTAATTATTTGCTGTCTATTCAAATTTTGTTCTTTAATTTTCATACATTTTGCATTCCAAAAAAGTTATCTTTTTATAAGCCAGTTCACGAGAAGCTTCTGTCTAGCTGTTGCCTCGGTACTGACAGATATCTTTAATTTCATGAGCTTAAAATACCAATTGTGTCCTTCAACAAATTTTTTAACACCCATATATTGAGCAATTACGTTTGCCTGAAGACGGATTCTAACTGATAAGCCCCCCTTTTTTTGTTCTATTGTCCATTTCTCTAAATTGACTTCCAAAACAGAACGGGGTAGGAGGCTAGTCTGAAAAAAATCATTTAGTTGTAGCCATTTTCTCTAGTTCTTGTTTGAACTTCTGCCACCGAATGCATCTCTCATGAACTTGAAATTCTCATTCTTTAATTTCTGTTGGTTTCTTCACTTTTGAAAGCTTAAAAGCAGCTGTTTAATTTTTTCTTTGTATAGAACTCATAATAATAATAACTTAAAAAAATTCAACAAATGTGAATGATAAATAAAGCATCACAACAAATAAGCAATAAACTGCAAAGCAGCGAGACTGCAAAAATGAACACACAATTTGGCAAAATAATAGTTCTTGTGACTGTTAAAAGGAAGATAATCATTGGAAAATGCAGACAAAACCACAGATTTCAGCAAAAAGTACATGCATTACAGTGTCTTTATACCACTACCACTACCGACCGCAGTTAGGCGTGTGTTTTAACTTGTGGCACTGATTTAGTGGTGACCTGAACATTCATATCAGGCTAAAATGTCACAGTGTTTTCTACATTAACCGTAACTACATTTCACTTGCGCATAACTTACAGTCTAAACTAGACTGAGAAAAAATAAAATTCCCTTATATATGCTACTCCAACAAATACACCATAAACCTAAATTTTTGACTTTCAAACGTGTATATGCTACAGCTGTTATATTTGTATATTTTGCTTTAAATTTATTATATTGGTAAATTTTGCTTTAAATTTATTATTATGGTACATTTTGCTTTAAATTATTAGTATGTTTGTTTCATATCTTTCATTTCATTCAAATTAACTGACCATTTTGGATGCCGAAAATACTGTAAACCAACCTTTGTGGCATAAATCGATTTTCCTTCCAATTAGCTAAGATTTCTTTTACAGAGAAATATCACTATATGTGACAGTATTGAATAATCCTATTTATGTTATTTAAACATCTGTTGACTAGCGAACCACAGCCCACCAGTGGTCGAGCAGTGAAGTCACTGAACATTGGTAGATCAGTTCGGGGTTCAAATTCCAGCAAATGGGGCTGGCTGTATGGTTGTTTCTATGGTTTTCCCCGTGTGTAACATGTATTTGAACAGTTTTCCTTAGGAAGTCCTCAGAGAAGGCATCCCTCCCCTTAGGCAGATATCCTATGAGTGTTTTGCATAATTAATTAAACTAACAAATGGCATCTTGATTTTGGCTTTTGACAGGCTCTGAAGGGATAAAAATTTTCTGTCTAATCCTATTCAGTACATAATAAGTGAAGTCCAAAAACCCACGTTCATATGGAGTTTAATGTTGCACATAGTGAGTTTCTTTCATTGGTAGAGCAAGAAAAAAAGAAGAATAAACTAGATTTCATTGAACTTAGTCAGCTAGCACTGAAAATTGTTCTCTCTCTTAAATTTCTGTTTTGATCAAAATTAGTATTTTATTCTCATTCTTTCTTCTTATACATAATAAAAGTATTATTAATTTTATCCAAATTAAAGTTTTATTAAAATCTAATATTTCCATTTTTCTTTTTCCTAAAAACTGCTCAACTGTCTTTCAGCCAATGGATATTGTAATTTTGCACACAATTAATTCTTAAAAAAATTTCATATAAAATCTGCTGTGTGGAGCATTGCAAGGTCATAAGAGGACATGTCTTCTGATATTTTAAGAAATCTTAGAACAGAGTTCTAAGAATGTTTTAAATGTTTCGTTTAAGAAACTTTCCAAACATGCGATTTCACTTTTCTTGTATTATTTTATTCCAACTCATTGTAGCCATCTACTGTTAATGTGTTTGATCTATGGAAATCCAGGTCTTTTTTTTTTCCAACCCCCTTTTCCTTTGTTTATTCAGTATTTCTCTTGGGAACTGCAGTCGTTAATGTGACGTGCCTGTGGGAATTTACTAAGCCAGACATGTCATACATAACTCATTTGCCATTAGATATTGATTGAATATCCATCAGATATTGTGGTGTTAATATTACTATGTATTCTTATTTGAATGTAGATTTTCTTTAAAGAAATAATATTGTGATTGTTACCAGTAATTTATCCATGACTGCTTTTGATTTGTTATGTTCTTACTGTAACATGTTGTTCGAAAATGAAATTAGTTGCATAATTTTCTCCTCTCGATTTTCGGTAAACAAAAGAGGGTACACAAGGCAATATAGTATATGTAACAAAATTATTTCAGTATAAATGCAAATTTAACTTCAATAATTATAATTTTTTAGTGTCCAGGATTTCACGCTCTGGGATTGGAATATTCCTAGTCACTTCAGTAATTATCAGTCATTCCCCTTGTGGATGCAAATAGAGTAACACTTGAGTTAAATTTTTAAACATATAGTTGAAGAAAAGTAGTACACATACTAAATTTTTAGTGCAAGTCCATTTAATGTGTTTGATTCCTGTCTCCTTATCTACTGTCAATGCATTAATGCCTTGTAAATTTGTTAGTTTGTGTAAAAATTTGTTAAATGTTTGTTTTCCATTCTGTCACATTTAGGCCAGTATAAATTTCTGCCTCCTCTTTCAAGAAATTATACACACTCCTTGTTTTTTTATGACCTTTCCAATGAAGTAGTAATTTGTAACCCTCTAAGCGCTTATCTTGTGATTAAGTTTTCATTTTTGCATAGATAAACCTGGAAGACCTAGTTCTATGCTATACCCTTTGAGATTGACAACTCATAATTTTACAAGCCACATACCTCGTAATTCCATTTAAAAAAAAAAAAAAAAAAAAAAAAAAGGCCTTGCAGACAGTGTGCTCTTTGTTGCTAAAAAAAAACTTCAAGTAGTTAAAAAATGTGCCAAAAAATGTGAAGTAGGGCTTTCCCTGAAACCTTGTTGTGAAATATACTACAATTAATATCTAGTATAATTTGTGAAAATACTGAATATAATTATTAGTACATATTCTTTGCGTTTGTATTCTATAAAGTAAATCATAATTTAATCAAGATTTGTTTTATATGATTATTTGGTACTTTTGCATTACATGGGGGCAGGCGATAAAGTCACCAAAAATTATACAACCGATGCCAAACGGAATACCCTGGCTGGTAACCTTTTACTGTCACATTTTCTCTAAAGAAGTTGCTGCCATTTTTATCAGTCATATCTTTTCCCTAATATGTTAAAAATAGATGAAAAACCAATGGAAATTTGGGATTTGCTCAGAACAGAGGAAGAAGCTGCCAAATTCTTTCAAGTGAAAGCCGTTTTGCCTAAAATTGCTACTTGTGATAATAATCATGAAATGAAATTGTATTTCGGAGACGACATTTAACCCTCTGACTGCTCAATTTGTGTGTGGACTGAAATCGCTTCCAAAATTGTGTATTTTTTTCGCATATTTTAAATCTATATATATTGGAGAATTAAAAAATGCTTTTTTTCTTTCTAGAAAATATTTTTTATATACATTTTTATCATGAGAAACTAAGCTGCCAGAAAAACCAATTTCAGATGTTATCACCAAAAAAATCTCTTTTTTAAATAAATTTCAGTCGAATTAAAGTTTTAATTTCTATTTATTGTATAATATAAAAAAGTAAAATATATAAAATTAAAGAAAATATAAAGCGCTGAGGGAAAAATACCTTAGAAATGCAGTTTAGTATGATAGAATTCAAAACAGGGTTCAAGGCAAAGTCTTACTTCACAGTCTTTGCACCAGATTCAATAAATCTAATTAATAATAAATCTAATAATTAATCTAATCAATAAATCTAAATAATAATTTAATTAAATAATCAAGATAATCGCTGAACGTTTTCTAGCAGCCATTTCTGTAAAAAAAAAAAGTGAAGATTCAGTGCTAATACCATGTGTCTTCAAATGCTGCAATTTAGTAGACAACTAACGATATCTGTTGGCCAAAATGTAAACTAAACGCCTAATACTGTGTATAAGTTATTTCATTGATTAAATGGGGAAAAAACGGGATGCGCTTCTCAATAAAGGAAGAAAAACATATGCGTATGGAAATCGGGAGATGAGCAAATTTTGCTACATTTGAGTTGCCCGTGGAAATCGCGGGATAATCAGCCAGAGGGTGAATGGTGCTGCAACCTTTTAACTTGTTACAGTAAAAGAAGTATCAGAAAAAGCACACAGTTTGAATCATCTAAATTGAGTTTCTTGAAGTGTGTGAGGTTTATTCATGGTTGGAGTGAAGAATTAGCTTCAGTTAAATAGTGTGAAAAGCAGTTGAAAACAGTCACAAAACAATTGTAGACTGAAATAACTACACGCATGAGGTTGGTTTATGTGGATTCTTTGCTTAAATGTCAACAACGGAAAATAAGAGGACCTGGTATGATTGTCGAAAGTGCATGAAAAGTATTTCACTAAGCACAAAAACAGTGCAGGACAGACTCTACCACAACAGTGGATATTTTTTGGAGCTTGGTGTGAAGCAAACAAATGTTTCCTTGTGAAGTTGCCAAATTGATCAATGAGTATTATATTAGAAGTAATTAAGAAAAATATTGAAAAAGAAACTATAATACATTTGGATTCGTGGAAATCATACTGCACTGAAAAAATAGAAGAGGAAAGTTTTGAACATTTCGAAGTGAATTATAAATATAGTTTTGTCAATTTGGAAACTGGAACGCACACACAAAAAATAAAAAGACAATGGGGTGGCACCAAATGGTGAAATAAGAAGCACGCCATCATCTGAAAAGTAATCTTGTGGAATTTATGTGGAGAAGGGAAACGAAAGACCCAGTTGAAAAAAATTTTAAACGATATTAAAATGCTTATGCCTCCTAAGTAAAAAATTCTTAGACCTAAAATTTCTTTTAACATTTTCTTATGTGTATATTGTGTGTTGTTGCCAATAGTCTGCTGGGCGAGATTTGCGCTGGCAAAATGAAAAGGTATGGATTATTCTTAAAATTGTATGAAAGTCTTTATTAAAAAAGCTATATAAAAAAAATCTTGGTTTCATAAATATGCTGCATATTTTAACTCTTAAATACATGTAGATTTGAAATGTGTGATTAAAAAAACATTCAATTTTTGAAGTGATTTTGATAAAAAAAATTTGAGCAGTTGGGTTAATGCTTTAATAAAATCTGAATTGCTTATATCATCTGCAGAGTATCTGTGCTGTCCTCTGTATTGCTAAACGATAAATACTTTGATTGTAGGTTATCTGAATAATGTAGCTTTACCTATATTTTTAGTGGCTTATTTCTTTTTCCTTGCTTCTGTACTAGGTGATTGCCTTATTAGAACAATTGAAATGGCTAGCAGATGGATATAACAGGCCTACACATAAACAGTTTGGAAATGATAAGTTTAATTAGGGGTTGGTAACATGGTGCCCTCCGCCTCATCCCAATGTGTTTGCATAAATTATTATGCCTTGTGTGCAGCTTTTAGTTTATGTTTATATAATACATATTAAATTATATATTTTTACGTCTATGCATCAAATAGCCACTTTATTGCATGTCCACCACTCGAAACATTTCATTGTCAAGTCAACTAAAGTCAGACCAATCTGACAGCGCAGCACATCATGGTTTATGCATTTAACCATAACATCTCTGAGGTAATGGCCCGTATGTGTGAGCAGAAAGATTTAGTGGGTGCAACACAAAATATCTGTCTACTTTGTCTGTGACAATTTTGATTAATTTGTAAACATACTCCAAATTTCTAACTTTTAGATAGGTACTGAAATCAATAATTACAAGATATGTAGTGTATACTCTATACTGTTGCTTTCTTGTTAGATTTGCTTTACATACTCTCTAATCATCCAGAATGTTTTCTTAGAGATTTGCTTACAAACCGATAACTGTAACAACACACAATGAACAAAGCTAAGTGAGCATGCTTATCTTGATATTTCAAAGCAAAAGTAATAAGGAAAAAAGCAGTCCTTATATAGTTTTAATTATTAATACTAAAAAGCAATGCTAAGGTCCCTTGTAATGAATTAATTTCTTACTTATCCTGGTTAAGTTTTTCTTTCCTTGTATAAATAAAATAACTGGTTTTAGAGCTTTAAAAATATTATAAGTTGCATTTTTATGACTGGGGGAGAATTTTTTTTTTAAAATTTATTTCTTGATTGATTTTCAAGTTCAAAGAAATTTTAGGTGATTTGTTAGTGAAATAGGACTTGTATCATTAATAACAAATATTCAAGCCAAACCTGAATATCATATTTAATTTTGATAAACAATAGTATGCATTTAATTTGTGCTGAAAAGTAATTTTTATCTTTATATTTTAGTTGGTGGTATTGGAGCTGCATATGCTACAAAAAATACTGTCACAAAGTTTATTGCTTCGATGGCTGCTAGTGCTGATGTGTTAGCTTTGGCGAAGATAGAAATAAAGCTTTCAGACATACCAGAAGGGAAGAACATGACCTTCAAATGGAGAGGCAAACCATTATTTGTTCGACATCGCACTCCAGATGAAATTCAGAAAGAATCTACTGTAGATTTATCTAGTCTACGGGATCCTCAGAGTGATGCCGAGAGAGCTACAAACCCAGAGTGGTTAGTTGTCATTGGTGTTTGCACTCATCTTGGATGTGTTCCACTTCCTGGAGTTGGCGATTATGGTGGTTACTTTTGCCCATGCCATGGATCACATTACGATGCATCCGGCCGTATCAGAAAAGGTCCTGCTCCTCTCAACTTGGAAGTGCCCCCTTATGAATATACTAGTGATGATACATTAATTGTAGGTTAAAATATTCAAATAAATAAACACAAGTCTGAGACAAAATATTATTTATATGGAAAAAGTGATTTAAATAACAGTTCACAAAAATTGTAGAAAAATGTACAGCTGAACAATAAATTCTAATTGGCTTTGTATAGTAAATTTTATAAGCAAAAATTTACAAAACATACATTGTTTTCACAAGTTTTAATCAAGTTAACAGCTATAATAAGTAAATGATTCAAAATCATTTTATATATTTATATATATGTATTATCCTTTAAGCATGTACATTTTCTGATTATCTAATAAAAATCATCTAGATATAATAATTTTTGAAGAGTGAGTATTAGAGTTTGCTTTACTAATTTTTTTTCCCCACAAAATGAAGAGATCTACTAATGCATTGCTGATACTGTTTTAAAAAATAATTGCTGCTTTTTTTTTTTTTTTTTTTTTTTTTTTTTTTTTAAGCTCCTTTTTGCTTGTAGATTCATAAAAAGGCAAAAGTTTTTGACTTGACATTTATACTTTTTGTCATTTTGAGAGACATTTTTAATCAAAGAAAGGTAGTATGAAAAGATGTTGCTATTAGTATCTTATGAGTTAATGCAGAGCTTTTTTTTTTAATCAGCAATTTCCTTTTTTCTAAAATTTACTTAAAAGTACATCTATAATCTTCATAATGAAATTGTTTTTAGATATGTATATTGGCTATTCTTGTTATTGGAAACTAAAAATTCCACCTCTTTAAAATCTGGTAAAGCAAAAATTTTGACAAAGGTGACAATATATTCAATAAAAATATTTTATTGCACTTGTTATTCTAATAATAAAATTTTAAAATTAACATTCTTATTTCAAAATCGATCTTGCTAATTTTAGTTTTTGAAAAATAATTTTTTAATCATAGTAATCTAAAAACAAAACACACATTAGTAAATTATAAATTGGATTTGTTCAACAATTTAAAAAAATATATATTTTTATGAGACACACAAAAACATACAATGTAATTTTCCATTTTGTAGCTTTTGAAAAGCATTTCATTAGATTCATTACACTGAATTGAAGCAGTAAATTCTTTCTAGAAACAAAGCAGTTCATAAACATATAATTTTGTGAAAGAGAGGAATTATATGATTATAATTAGTTATGTTGTAATATTCATTATAAAGGAAACTATGTTATACAAGAATGCCATCAATTAATTTGAGCTGTGGAAATGTTTTCAGTAATGTTGAGTATTCTGAATCATCTACAGCAGGATTGCCTTCAAGATGCAGTTCTTCAATAGAATTAGAAGTCTTCAAGACAGCTAAAGAATTTATATAAATTACTGTAAAAATTCTTGTTAAGGTCCATTATAAGAAAGATGAAGTTACGAAGTTTTATTTTACATGCCATGAAAACATATTTGGAGATAAAGCAAGAATAGTGGATGTTAATGAATTATTTTATATACAGTATTATGCAGTTTCCTAGAATACATGAATCATTTATGTAATACTACATTAAATTGAAGTCATTGTTCTTACACCTAAAGTTTTTTTTACAGTATTTTACACCAAAGTTCAGAACAAAGTTTTATATTTTTTTGAGGGGGGGGGGTCCATCCAAATAAATTAATTATTGTAGTAATCATATGAATTAAGATTTAAAAATAAAATTTGTACTCTAATAATAGAATTTAAATATTACAGTACAAAGTCTGTAATCCGGACTCGTCGGGACTTTGGAGATTCCGGATTAGGGGTTTTCCTGGGTTATACATCATCAATTTAAATCTGGTAAGATGGCATGCAGAAATTATACAATTAAAGATATGAAACCATAATTTATGAAATAAAGAGCAATTATGATCTAAAGGGTATCAAATTTTACAGAAAAAAGTTTAATATTTATTTGTTTACTTTATTAAACATTTCTTTCAATGCGCACATGCGTAAAGCATACAATACGTGTATGCGCCTTCTCTATGCGAATGCGTAAAGTTTGTCGTTTTGAGGTCCGGATAATGGATGTCCGGATTGCAGACTTTGTACTGTATAATTTTTCATACCTGAAAGTTTAATTAATAAACTAATGCTTATTCTTTAATTACTGCATTTAATTTATAGAGATCAGCTTTTCAGAACTAGGAAACGAAAAATCAATTGTCCTTGCCATAATTCAAACACCTACCAATTTTTAACTAAATGTACTAACAACTTATATAGAGATTAGCTTTTCAGAGCTAGGAAACACAAAATCAATTTCCTTGCCAAAACTCAAATAAAGACATACCAATTTTAGCTGAATGTGCTAACCACTTATACCACAAGAGCACATATGGGAAAACACAACAATTCCTTACATCCTTCTCCTACTTGCGAGTGCTAAATCTGCGTAGTGACTAATTATCTTCTACTGCATTTTAGTTCAAGCATCAAAATGTAGAGACAATTTTTTAAAAAAATCTGCTGTGAACAAAATTTAATTAAAAAAAAAATTTTTTTTTTTTTTGAATTAAAAATAGAGTGGCTATGCAAAAGCAAGCAATTCGGCCAGCTGGCAAGAAGAGATTTTTTCAGTGCACAAACTTGAAAATTTACTTTTGGTCCCACTTCACAAAAAGACACTGAAGTTTGTGCACCAACTGAATTCACTGTTCAATTAAGAGTTTGAAATGTAAACAAATGACAGCTTTGTTAGACTTAGCAATGCCACTTAAACTTTTAAATTGTTGATAATTCTACAACTACTGCATGCAGATTAACTAAAGGCATAAAAACCTTAAAAGGACAACATAATCAATCACTTTTGAAGCAAAAAAGCTCGAGACAGGTAATAGAGTGGGTACACCTTATATATATATATTTATATACTTATATATGTTTGGTGTGGCCGATTGCAACCAAAAAGGGAGGTGCACAATTACAAATTATAGCAGTCCCATATACAAAATTTCAACATTCTAAGGCTCCTCGTTTTTGAGTTATACAAGATACATATGTACATACAGACGTCATGAAAAAAATCTCTTCTGAAGCCATTTTAAATCCATTGCAGAAAAAATGGAACTTTATTAGCACCATGTTAAAAATAAAAAAATAATCTTATTAAATAAATAATTTGTTATAAATTAAAATAAATAAAACAAAAGTCTAACTTTTCTTAATGCTTTTGAAATTGATGCTAAGTGTAATAACTACAAGCAAGAATGGTGTTGGTGTACGCATTTGCCTTCTTAACTACACATATATCTCAAATTTTGCCATAATGATAGGTATGCAAGTATTATTAACAATGAATCCTTGTTACGTATATTATGGCAATTAAAATAAGACTACTTTTAAAACAAACCTGTAAAATTGACAAGTTAAAATTACATTGACTATTGAACACTAATTACATGGTCAGGCTAAAAATTTTTATTGTTGCATTTTATATCAGTCAACCAATCAATCATAAACTTAGTAAATCATTGTATTTTATGATTTTCAAATGCATGTACAGGTGCGATTTTTGGCCTGTAAACAAGTGTCTGACTAAACCATTAACCCCTTTCTCCAAACTGGTTTGCATTAAATAACTAACCATAAACTTTTCACAAAACTGCCTTTCTGAGAAGTTTTTACAAATAATAAAGAGATCAAAAGTACTGTGACATTCTGCTCTCAGATCCATATCCAAAATAGACATAACTTCCCTTTTAAAATCTAACTGTTTCACTGTTTGCATTAACATAAGAGGATTGTATATTGAGTAATATGCATTCAAGTATGTTTTATGACTTTATTATAAAAACTGAGTCTTATTGTACTGTTGCCATGCTTGGATGTGTTTATAGATTTAAACTTATACAGTCAAAAGTCGTTAATTCGGACACCCATAATCCGAAATGATCTATAATCTGGACCTCAAAGCTAAAAACTTTCTGCGCATGCGCCGCTTTGATGCATGCGCATAGGCGTTTAAGCGTGCGCGTAAGACCTTTATGACTGCGCATTTGCGTGTGCACAAGCGCAGAATACGTTTTCGCTGCGCGTTTAATGTATAACGGACGGTATAAGCTAAAATTATCTAATTGTCTATTTCAATTAATGTTGATGATTGCGTTGTTCCTTAATCTTCGAATTGGATCCGGCTTATTATTTTTTGCAGACTGTAAGAGCAATTTTATAAAAGTAAGCTTGAACTTTCGATTATGTCGAATAGAATTTCCGATGCTGGAGCTCCCAACGGATCTACGAAAACGAAAGTATGTTTCGATGTCCATCAAATAAAAAGTGGAATTGCTCCAAAAAATGGATAAAGGCATATCCTTTGTTTATCTAACCGTTCCGAGATCTCTTTATCAATTTCACACTGCTCTGGGCTGGGCGGGGAAGGGGAACGTGGCGGCGCGCAATGAACTGGAAGTTGATCTGTCAACACTATCGTTATCTTTAGGGCAGATGTTTTTATTTTATTCGGCTTATAATTCCTTATTAAATGTAGTATTTCATCTCGATGTACTTTGTCTTTGATATGATTTAAATCAAATTCCTCGTCATTATAAATATCACGAATACAAATCAAATAGTTTTCTGGTTGCAATTTTCTAATTTCGGCTATGCATACTGTATGCTTTACGCATGCGCGCGTTTAAAGAAATGTTTAATAAAGTAAACAAATAAATATTAAGGTTTTTTTTTTTGTAAATTTTGATACCCTTTAGATCATAATTGCTCATTATTTTATAAATTACGGTTTCATATTTTTAATTTTATAATTTCTGCATGCCATCTTACCAGATTTAAACTGATGATCGATAATCCGGAATCACTGAAGTCCAGATTAAAGACTTTTGACTGTATACAGCATGGCAATAGCCTAATGTAGTGTAGCGGTCTCACACTCAAATTGTGTGTGGGCCGAATGCATGATCTGAAAGCAGCTGATGGACTAGAATTTAAAAAAAAAAAAAATCTGAAAGGTTTTAGATTTTAAATTAGGTAAAGGGGCATTTTTTTTTTAACATTTGTATGTTACCTTTATGTATTAAATATCATGTTCTACGTACTCAAACTATAAAATTCAGCTCAACGTCGCAAATTAATTTTTTTAACGTTTTGTGTGTTACCTTTATTTATTAAATATCATATTCTACATACTCAAACTATAAAATTCAGCTCAACATCGCAAATTAATTTTAAAATGAGCATATCTTTAGAATTTCCAATACAGAGTCTCGCGTGCTGGAGAAAAAAATATTTTTTTGGTAGTGTTGCTATTGCTCACTTTGAAAATAGTTTAGTTTTTTTTTTAATCAAAAATTCATTGAAGTGTTACAAAACCTGAAATCGATAATAAAACAAATTCAAGGGCTTTCACATGCCCATATTCCATGGAAGATTACGTTTTTCAAATTTGATGGCTCTAGGTACTGTTGTTTTATCATAATGTGAGTAATATACATACATTTATGCAGACTCTTCATTATTTAATTTCTTTAAACATAAGACAGGGCGATAATATATGGTGGCAACGATTTGAAAAGTGATACAGCCTTTTCAAGTTTTTGATGCAAAATTTCAAAACAAAATTAATAGTCCTTCAAGGGCAAATTGGCCCTTTGGGAAAAAAAAAATGCTTCATTATTATAAATAGTAATAATATGATGCAAAGAAAAAAATTATGTTTATAATTTATTATTATTTAAATTTAATTTATTTTCTGAAATCCGCAAGAAATTTCTATTTGTTACACTTTGTAATTCAGATATACTTACAGCTAAATATTAAATTTTGGAACTGATGTTTACTTAATAATTCTACTTTATTGAATAATTTATTTAAACTAAAAATGAGCAAATAACGAAAATTACTCAAGTGGGACAAAACTTGAGAATAAATAATGACAACCTATTCTCTTTTATTTAATTTTTCTTTGATGCATAAAAAATATATATATATATTTGTATGTAAATAATTATAAACTTCTTGATTTCTTACTAGAACTTTCAACTAAAATACCTCATGGCATTCTGATTTCGATAAGTTTCTAAGAGAGTTAGATTCTGATTTCGATAAATTTTCTAAGAGAGTTTTTCTTAGAGAGTTAACTTCTCTAAGTTTATAACCTTAGAGAAGAACTGCTAGAAACTGTATTCATCACAAACTATAGATGCTCATTGCTATCTGGTTTTAAGACTTTTTTTTAAGCCATCATCTGATTACATAATCACTAAAACCTTACATTATTCTACCATAGAAAGCTGTTTACATGTAAATATACTCCCAAACAAATCAATTATTACAAAAATTTGTACCTCAGCTCATTTACCTTTTGACAAATATGAATAAAAATTAATCTGTATCTTCAAATCTTTGAATAAGATTTATATTACAGTGTAAATTAATTAGCTGCATTTGTAGATTTTCTGGAACATTACACATGTTGATTTTTGGTAATGATAACTTTGAATTCTTTTCATAATAATGCTAATTAATTTATGGAAAGTGTATTTGGGGAGAGCTGTGAATTTGAGAGCAGTGATGTAGTGCCCAAATTAAAAACAGAGAAAATAATTTATATTTTCACTGCTTACTGAATTTAATAAAATGAAATGAAAAAGGATACAATTTTTCTTCACAGATAGATATTTCAAATTCTGTAAATTTTCTAAACCATCCAGATTTGTCAGTTGATTATTATCTAGGTTAATGTCTTTCACACATATCAAGAAACAAAGGGGATAAATTGATGTTAAATAATTTGATGATAGATCTATTTTTTCTATTAATAGAAGTTGGTCAAAGTGATGTAAACTTGTTAATTTCTTATTGGAGAAATTCACTTTATCTGCTTCCATCGGAAGAGTTTCAATTATGTCTTCTATTACAAATTTACTACCTGGAAAAAAGAAATTTTTATTTTTAGAAAATAATTTTATAGCAAACAATGTATTTATTGAAACTATATTTGCCATAAATTAAAAAAAAAAACTATGACAGATCTTAGGAAAAATGCTTCATATTTAAAAATATTCATTTAAGAAATAAAGCAACAGTTTCTATTTATAATAGAAAATCAGTTAGATACCAGCAGTTTGTGATCATTATGCAGTAACATCTAGTCTTATTACTTGGGTACACTGTATGGACATGATAAATACTTTGTCATGCTATTACATAATCAATTCATTATATAAGTAAATATTCACACTATGTACAATTGTGTAAGATTCTATCATAAATCTTTTCTCTTCTAGCAGATTACATTGTTAAAAAAAAGATTATATTACTGTGTGATTCTGCAGAGATGTTTTGTGCATATACCAGGATGAGTGTAATATGAATACATAAAATTTTATGTTAACAAGCATATGATGAAGTATCTATCTTTTCTCAGATATAAGTTTACAGATGCAACTAGAGGAAATAATTAGTATAATTTATCACCTAGATGTCTAACTGAATTTCAAATTAAGTTTCAAGATTGTGGTACAATTTTTCTAGGTATATAAATTTTCTTAACTACAATATTTCTACACAATTACATTCTTTTCATTTTATATGAAACAATTTTTTTTAAAACTTGTAGTAATAATTTTTAAATTAAATAAAATTCTAAGTGTATTGAGTAAATTGGACACTGGTTTTCTTTAATTAATAAGAAGTTAAATATATTTTTACCTAAATCTTTGTAGTAGTTCCTTCTTGATGCATCCACTTTAATAAGTTGCTCCATATAATCTGACCAATTAATTCCAAAATTTGTATCGTTTAAAGCTCTCATTATCAAAATAGATGTAAACAAAGTCCCTGAAAATAAATGAAACGATACATTATAAAGTGACATTATAAAGTGACTACCCTGAACGATACATTATAAAGTGAATTAAACTCACTTTGGAGTTCCTTTGAAATGGCTTCGCCATGCAGCGCGAAGCCTTACAGTTAGCTTGTAAAAATCTCCCAATTTTTAACACAATTAACACAACTTAGATGGAAAAAATTAATAAGATCAATAAAATTCAAAAAGAAAAAATATAATTTAATAATTATTGTGAAGAAGTGGGAGAAAGGAATTTTTCCAAGTTTTATTAATTCAATAAATTTCATTTATTGCTAGGAAATATTTTTCTTTAATAAAGGGTGTGCAAGTATTTGCATAGAAGATATACAAATTAATGCACAAAAATCATAGGAAAAATGCTGTCATCATGCACAAATCTTGGTTAAATGTGAAGTTTCTGTGATCAGATGTTAATAAGGTTTAAAAAGCATTATTTACATAAAGAATAAAACTGACAAGTAGGCTTGAGATGGAGAGAGAGAATGCTTTGAGACCAAAAGCACAAACACTCATCTCCAAATAGCATCTCCACTGTAGCCAAAACTATCAAAAGGGAACTCCATTACCACTGGTGAACATGTAATGTTTTCAGGCGATGTTAGTGCAAAACTCATTAAGGGTGGACCCCACAGCAGTGGCAACAAGTCATCTGAACTGATGATCAACATTCACCCTATTTTAGTCCACTATGTGTTTAGTTTCGGAAAATGCCCAAGGAAGTTTTTATGTCTGCCTACCTCTTGCCAACTGTGAAGCATGAGATATTATACCTTGGTGCAGCCTTGGACAATTAATTGTTATTCTGCTTAGGAAGTCAAAGCCAATTACTACTGTAGCATCTTAATCATGCCTATCCTTTTGTCCATATTTTATTCCATGAAAAGGAAATGCTTTTTCAAGAATGCCAAAGCTCTTATTCAGATTGGTAGTTGTGTTCAGCCATGAGGATGAAGTCAGACATCTCACCTCGGTCTCCCAGTGCACTGATTATAACATTATTGAACACTTGCAGGAATATTTGAAGTCCAGACTTTGTGCTCAAATTTCATCTCCAGTTATACTTTCAAAATTAGAGACTGCTGTGCAGGAGGAATGGCTTCATAGCTCCTTAAATATTGTACAAGACATCTATCTATTCATTAATCCGACATCACATGCAATGTACACTTTAGTCAAAGGATGATTAAATCTCTTACAAGAAACACATTCTCTTATTTCACAAGCACTCATATATTTTGTACCCCCTCTGTGTTTTCATCAAGACAGGTTTTCCAACAAGCAACCTTTCAATTCTTTATGAAGCAATCAACAAAAGAACAACTCCATTTCATGCACCCACATTGAATTTAACATTATTTTGTATTGATATGTATGAAAACTACTTTCTTCATTATATATTTTTCTTCTAAACAAGCATTTTTTAACCTTTGGTCTTTCCAACTTATGCACTTTTTGTTGGTCCCAGCTATCACGTAACTTCAAGGCATTACAGTATTTATAAGTACCACACATAAAACAAATGTTTATAATACTATAGATTGAACATTTAAGCAATATAAAATAGTCTCAAGAGCAACAATTTTTCACTATTATTTAATGCACAAAGAATAATCCAAACTCACATTTACAGTCTGGTTCCAATTCATTTAACTGTTGACATGATTCTAATTCTTGTTCAAGTACTTCTTTTTTTGCAGCACTAAGTTCAGACCTTTTAAAAAAGATTGGACTGTATATAAATGTTGTGATAAAAGTACAATAAAAGCTTGACTATCCAGAAAACTCAAGAAATGCTGAATGCAAGAAATATGAAAATTCCAGACAATTGAACATATAAAAAGTGAAATTCAAGGAAAAAAAAAAAAAAAAAAAGCCGAATGAATGGTAAAAGAAATTTCTGATATTAAGTTATAAAAACAGTCATATTATTTGTTATCATCTTGAGTACATTTTGATATTATGCAAGATTTCAGGCATAAAAACCAATGTATTTTTCATAAACCTTAACATATGAAAGTAAAACATTTTATCTGGTTATGAAATAATATTGGATATAAAAGTTAATGGAGATACCACTGAATTTACACCGATCATTCTGACAGAAGTTTCAAGACACTCTTTATTTAATTAGATAATCAAGAAATACAAGTTACAGATGCAGCATACAAAAAAATTAAATCACTTGTCAGTTTTTCATATTGCACTGTTGTTTATCTGTTTTCAGATAAAGTCACATATTGTGCTCAGTAGCACACACTTGTTTTAATGCCATGATATGAACATTTTGAAAATGTGCACTGCATGGTGTTGTGTTGAATGGCAGGTCCTAAATTTTAATATTTTTCCTTCAAAATTGATGGAAAGATGAATAAATAGCAATTAACTTACATCCTTTTTTACAAAAGCTAAATTAGGTTATCCAGAATTACTCAGATTTGCAAAAAACTAAACAGAAGATCTTATAATTTTGTTGTGTTGTCATGCTTCTCCATTTTCTGTTGCTAAATTATGCTGTTTGATAACAGGGTTTGTATATCAAAAATGATTGATGCTAACATACTGGAGAAAGCAGTTATCACAATAGGCAAAATAATACCTATCATGAACTCTTTCTGGTATGTTCCTGTACCACACTAATTTCCCACTTCTTTTTCTATGGAGAATGCCTAATTCAAAAGGAGAATTCTTGGAACAATATGCCAGATAAACAGTATGGATGATTATTACATCTGAAAGAAAGGCCATGTAATTGTATTCACATTTGAAATATTGTGAGACTCTAACTCATAGTCTTATATTTGCATTATGATGGCTTTTCAAGTCTCTCATTTGCTTAAGTTTCTACAATTTTGAAATATTCCAGTTAATTGAGCTTTCAGGTTAGTTGAATGCCAGATAGTCGAGTTGTTACTGGGTTAAAGGTTTGAGCTTTTAACAAAAACGTATGCATGTTATATTCAATTGCAAAGCTATTAATAATTAAAAATACATAAAGGAATTGGTTTTTTCAATTTCAGTTGCATTTTTCTTTAATTAACTGAAAATAAGGAATTCCATAATAACAAACTATTCATTTTATTACTATCCATCTATAAAGAAAGGATTTTGTCTCTGAAAATATTATTAGCTTTGCTTATGTGTCATTTTTTGCTATATTATGGTATTCATTTCTTACAATTTTTAAATAGTAACTAATATTTTACACTCAGATTTATTTATTATGTTTTCAGACATATATTATCAAACAGAAGAGGACAGTTTATTTAACACCTTATGACACTTCCTTAATGAATGAAGTGTGATCATTAAGGGGAAAAAAATTAGCTTAATTTCAAAAAATTTAAAAACCAGTCTCAAAAACCAAAATTAAATAAATAAAAATTCCACTTTTTACAACAATCACAACATAAATCACCCAGTCAGTACTTCAAAACATATCACAAGCAAAATATAGGAAGTTCAAGGCTCAAGTGAATCATTTATTTACATAATTCTTATGTTGTTAACTCAGTAATTTTATAAATAGCTCCATTTAAATTCTATTAGAGTAAATATTATATCTATTAGTGTAAATATTAATATCCAAAAATAAATACATATATATATATATACTTTACATACATACTTACATATATATATATATATGTAAGAAAAGAGAGACTCATCAGTATATGAGAAAAAGACAAGCATTACCATTTTAGTTTCTATAAATATAAATTTAAAATTCAGCAGACTTCTGAATTTTCTACACATTAAAGTTTTAAACTCTAACATATAGAAAATTAAAAAAACTAAACTTCTTCAAATGCTACATATACTTAAAACATAATATTCACAGTTTAAGATCAGAAATAAAGTATGGTATTTTTTCTAGAAAGCATATTTCTTCCATCTTGCTGACTATACTCAATATAAATCTTATGACAAGCTTGTTACAGAACTAGTTTCTAAAATTATTTATTTATTTTTTAAAAAAACTTTGTGTTGAAGTGTTGTTCAACACGTGTTTCGTGTTTAATTCAAGAAAATGATTTTAAAATTCGAAATGCTATTCAAACATAAATTTTATGAATTACAGAACAATCAGAATTGTATTCACTGAAAATGAAAAATTTTTAAATTATTTTTTTAATATCAGCTCTATATTCAGTAAACTATAAAATTACTGTTTGGAACAAAAACTCACTCAAGGAAACAAATTAATAATAAACTAACATTTACTGAAAATTAATACAACATATCACTGTTCATTAATGAAAATACAACATTACCGGAAGGCATCAGTTCTATCCGCATTCCTCCAAGCAAATGATTTATTTCCACTTACATGACAAACTAAAGAACTTGCACAATTTCCCATCTCAAGACTAACAGAAATTTTGCTTTTCCCATCTTCAAGATCTATGTCACATGGCAAGTTGCATATCTGTAAAAGAAGGAAATGAAAATAATAATAATAATAATAATAATCCTTCAGGGACAAAGTCCCTTTGGGCTAAAAAAAACAACTGAAAGGTTTAAAAAAAATTGAAAGGTTTCAGCTTTAGAATTTCCGATACACAGTTCCATGCACTGGAGATAAAAAGGTCCCTCCGTAGAGTGTTGCTATTACTCGCTTTGAAATCCTTGAGTTTGTTAATCAAAAATTCGTTAAAGTTTTGCAAAATATGAAACCGATAATAAAACAAATTCCAAATTTGGTCTTTCACATGCCCATATTCATAGGAGGACTATGTCATTTAAAATTTGATGTTTTATTACAATGCGAGAAATATACATACGTTTATGCAGATTTTTCATTATTTAATTTCTTCAAATATAATGCAGAACTCCAACATTTGGTGGCAACAGTTTGAAAAGTGAAACTGACATTTATAATGATTCAGCTTCAACACGAAACGAAAACAATAGTCCTTCAGGGACAAAGCCCCTTTGGACTAAAAAAGGTACTTTTCCTTTTTACTTCAGAATTAGTATACCTAAAATGTGTTTTAGCAGAGCGAGATGATAACGCATTATTATTATTATTTTATCAGTTTTTAAAAAGTCTTAGAAACTAATAATTAATTTTCAGTAAATGCAAATCAAAGCTTTTAATTGCCTTACGTGAAATTCATTTTAATAAAAACATTATAGAGCTGATAAGGTTTGACATATGTTTTACCATGTAGATTATTATGAATAAACCCACATACATTAATGGAGTCTTGACTCTGATAAATGAAGGCCCATACTACTTGATCCCTAAAGATCCTTCAACTTCTGACCTCATTAAAGTCAAAACAGTTGTTAAATCTTCTCACAATAGTTCCAACTCAGTTTTAAAAAAATCACTTATTCCACCTATTGCTAACTGTACTGGGTTTCATACTCCACAAAATTTAAAAAAAAAAAAAAAATTGGAATTCCTTTTCAGCCTACAGTTTTTAACTTGGGAACAGCATCATATCCTTTGGCCAAATAATTTAGCTTCCAGATTTCCTCTTTTACTTTCTAACAATATTCACACTGTACAAAATTCTTTTGAAGTCATTGATAAGAATATTTCTCCTCTGCATTCCATTATTGTTTCTTTTGAGATTCTGGGTGAAGGAGCACTAAAATGTCTTGAAAGTAGACTTCATGAATTCCATTTTACATATACTGATTTACACATAATGTTATATTTCTCTTACTAATGTCTCTTTAAGTCAAAACCACTTTGTTTTCTAAAATGAATATTATTGCTAAATTGAATGATTAGTATGGATAATACTCTCAGTCCTGTACTTGCTGACATTTACATATACTATTTTGAGGTCAAATTATTTGAGAAATTACATTTTTATCTCTGGATCTGCTACGTTCTTTCACACTTTTTGATGGCAATACAAAAGATTTATCCTAGATTTTATATGTTATAAATTTGATGGATCCAGCCACCCACTTTTGAAACTGAATTTGACAATCCTCTTCCCTTCTTTGATATTCTAACAATGCACATTGAATCCCATTTCAGCACCTGTTGGTTACCCTTTACTGTAAACCTTTTTTTGTTTGTTTACTGCACTATGCTAAGTCATGTCACCAGGCTAGGCAAAAAATGGCTTCTTTTTACTGTAATGTATTTTCTGCGCTCAAAGTTTGTTTTTCAGAACCTCTGCTTGCTAATGAATTAAATTATTTGAGATTAGTTATGACTGACCAAAGATTTTCTACCATTATCAAAGTCATTGATAAAGCCTTTAAAAGTTTTCATCTTGCCATCAAGAAGACATTTTGCTGAATAACCTTGTTGTGCTCCTATTTCATCCTTCTGTCAGTTACAGAATTGCCCAGATTCTACAGAAGTTCAATTGAGTTATTTTCTCACCTATCAACAAAATCCATGATTTAATTCTTATATTCCATTTCTGATTTTAATTCTTGGGGAATTTATAGCATATTGTGTCTGTGTGGTATGAGGTATATTGGGAGAAGCGAAACTTTAATGATTTGTATCAAAGAACATGAATCTTATGTATGAAATGGCAAAATTAACAAGTGTTCAATAGCTAATCATAGTCGGAAATTTAATGATAATTTTAGGCCTTCAAAAATTATCCAAAAAGCTCTTTTCATAGTTCAATTGGATTTTCCTTAAGCTTTTCACTTTCACAAAGATTTATCTTGTTTAGTTAATGACTTTAAGTCCAATTCAGTCCTTCCTAACTCTTTAAAAATTTTATTAACTTAATTTTTCAAATTTTGTTACTATTTCTGCTGACAAATGGTGCTACCTTCTCATTTGCTTTACTGCTCATTAATTTATGTAGGGTATAAATATAGCTGTTGCTTTGCTTCTGATGAAGAGAGACTTGTACATGTTTGTTCTTGAAACTGAGTTCTTGACTAAATCTACACCAAACACAAGGTTGTTGCTTTGTTAATTTTATGTTTCACTTTGGTGTGTTTCTACATTGTGTGTATACCTTTACAGATATAATTTGGGCAATAATAATAATAGTTTGAAAAAATATTGATTTATACTCTTTGTAATTTTATCAGTTCAATTAAATACATCAAAATATTTTAATTCACATGCATAAACTTGTATTCCATGTTATAAAAAATTACAAACCCAGATTGAAGAACCTGATGTCAAAGAAGAAACTGCATTCCATGTGACATCAAGGGAAAGTTCATTGACTTGTAATTTCAAACATTTACTATGGATCTATGTAAAAAAAATATATATATATGACATATATATATATTTACTAATTGAAAAATTTATGTGAAAAAAATTACCAAAGTACTAAAATATTTAATAAAGTACTTCCTTTTTTTTCCTTCCATTTGAAAGCTACATATAAATACAATGTAACAAAAATATAAACTTAGATAACTGTGCAATGATGCTGATATAGTATACAGAGATAAAATGCACAGAAACTAAAAAAAAAAAAAAAAAAAAAAGCATATAATGGTTAGACCAAAAAACAAAACAAAACAAAAATAAAATAAAATAAAATAAAATAAATACTTTCTAATTATCTGCAGAAGCTATATTGCCAAAGCAGGCAACCCATGATTTTGCCTAAATGTATTTATGAGGAATGCAGGTAAGAAACAGCATGCTTGCAGCAGACAAGCAGCGACATATATTTTCTCATTTAAATTTTACATAAACATACATTTTTCAATGTATAATTGACAGTTAGTCCAGCCATGTAAACACACCAGTATTGTAAACAATAGTCTTATGATTGAAAAACTAATGCAAACATCATCAAAAAGCTTCCCTTCTTTTCTACCTGAATTTCTGTGTGACACAATGTACAGACCCATTTGCTTCCTATCATATTTTTCCTTTCTGGCTTTTCAACTAATTCCCAAACTTTCCTTTTCTTCATTGTCAATTTCTTTTCTCCACTGCCTCATCCCATTCTGTGGCATTTACAGATTACCCTGCTTCTTTAAAATTTTGAGGCATAAAAATTTTTACAGAAATCACCTCCTCAGATATGGATAGAGGATTTTTTTTCGCTAAAGTCAAACATCTCTCTCAAATTTAATGTTTCTAGCCTAAAAATAATTTTAATGCCTTTATGGTACCTAAAAGGAGTGTCTGTTTCTCCTATTTAGTAATAAATATCTGTCTGCGTCCTGTTTGGCTTCTTAACTGCCTTTCTTTGCTACTTTAAGTCTGAAACTTCTTTCAGTATAGATTTATCTTTTAATAACTATTTGTTTTCCAGAGTTTATTTTGCATTTATCTTTGACAGCGTTTTTGATGCTTTAAATTAAGTTTCTGGCCCTGGATGCTATCTGCTTTGTTCATTCTTTCATCAAACTTCAGAATGTTGTAAATATCTATTAATCTCTGCTATTTTGGTAGCCATATTCTACACCCCCAGTTTCTTTGACATATCCTATAATTTCTTCTTTGTATATCATTTGCAATTTATCTAGTCTGTTTTGGTATGCCAACATATGCTTCACATCCAAATGTTTTTAAATAAATACAACAGGGAAGGTGTACCAATCTACTGAAAAGCATACTTTGCCTTTAAGAAATAATAATACAAGACCATATCTAAACACAAAACTGACATTTATTTTACTCTTAAAACGGACTAGGCTGCAACAACACACATAAAAATTAAAGCAAAAAAAGAAACCGAGGGAGTACTAAGTTCATTGACTTTGTAATATAAATATACTTCCCAACATGTCATCAGGCAGTCTGTCAAAACCATGGTAATTGGGCAATCACATTAGTTTACCACCAACTGACTTCAGAAATTTTTGTGAGGAGAAAACAAAACATGAAGCCAACACTTTGAACTTTGAACATGGAAAAAGAAAACATGCACAATTCTCTCGTTTTATTTTTTTTTTTTTAAAGCAAAAACATATTGCTGTGTATATGATGAGAACCAACAGTGTTTGCAATGCCAAGCTTTTGCAATTCTTTAATTAAGCTAAAACAGACTGCTGTGTACATGGGGAGAACAATACTAAAAAATGGTAGTGTTCCACTATGAACATTCCTTGAGTTTTTAATTTTGTTAACTGATTACTGTCTTATGTAAGTTTTAATGTGTTGCCATTTTTGTTAAATGGTTGTTGTCTTTTGTGTCAGTCATCAGTGACTGGCGACTTTTCAAGAAGGTGGTGCAGATAATCAGAATGTACCAAAAATCTAATAATGCAACTCTGTAAACAAAACAACAGTTTGTTTACAAAGTTGCATTATTACTCAGTTACAGGCCAAAAAAAATCTAAAATTATTTAGATGAAAATGCTATTACTGTAATACATAGAAGAAAAACTACTGAAATATGTATAAAATTACTAATGCTTAAAGGAAATTTCTGGTTTAGACAAAAAAAAAATTTTCTCATAAAAATAATTCATTTCATACAAAACTGTACTGTATTAACTATTTTATTATGATAGAGTAATAAAAAGTTTAGTACTTTTCTGTTAACGGAGTGCCACATTAATGGGGTGCGACCTAGTGCTAAACATTAACATTTGCACAGAATCTAATTTACATGCTGGCAATACTAACATTGTGATATCACAATTATCCAATACTGGGTCTAAATCACACTTTCTAGCAATAGTTTTTAATTTTTGGAAATGATCGACAGAAAAATACAAAAGTACAAGTCCATCTATATACCACTAAAAGTGGGAAAACATGTTATATAACTTAACTAAAGTGAAAACCAAGTCTTTATCTATTCATAAAATAATTCCAGAAACGATCTACTGATCATTCAAAAAATGCTACATCTGCAATGCTATGGATAGTGTTTAAGATGAAAGGTGAGATGAAGATGATGTTAATGTGAAATAATCGACAATAATGTTCCCTAGATTTTACTTATAGCAGAGAAAACTTCCTAATATTTATACATTTCATTAATATACATCAGATTATCTGAAAATTTCTAGAAAAGATACCAGTATTAAAAAAACTGCTTAATATATGTAAAGATTAATTAATTTTACAATATTTTTTCAATTATTTAGCTAATAATGTCACTTTTGTGATATAATTATTTGTAAATTTTGAACTAAATAAACAATCCTTTAGTAGAGAAAAATTTGCTAAATATTCTGGGTTATACACAGAAATATATGTTAACTAGTTGCAGATAAAAATGACAGGTGCATTTTTTAGATGAATAACCAGAAAGAGATTTTGTTGCTATTAACAGTTAACAGTTTCTAATAAATCTTATTTAAAAAATCTCATGCTTTTATTATGGAATTAATACTTAAGTTCATTGCTCAGAAGCTGCTATTCGTTTGATAATGTCAATCTTGATGAAACATTAACTAAAGTTAATAAATGGGTGCAAATTTAACAAAGAGAACAAATCCACTGTCACTTGTCTTAACACAAATTAGAGCAGTTTTAATAGTCTTTAAAAATTAGGATTCTAAAACACAGACTTACAAAGAAATATTCATTAAAATTCCTAAAATCTTTCTGAGTATGTTGACAACAAATCCCATATCAATTTACAGTTTTGTTTCTTAAGAAATTTAACCTCAAATTAATATGCCTGAATTATCAAGAGAAAAAACAAAAGATGCTTACCTTGATTGGTTCAGAAAACAGTACAGCTATAGATTTTTTAGGTTTAAGTACAGTAATATTCAATATCTGAAGAGGAATTTTGCCTGTAAATAATATCTCAATAAATGATTTGAAAAACTGACAGTTTAATTGGCAACAACTAAATTCCAGAATTTTACATATTTAAAAAAATAATTTCTAATAATCAGGAAACAATCTAAGCATAGCAAAATTTAATTTTTACTATAATAGAAAATTACCTATAAAGTTTCTAAAACATTAATAGCTACAAACATTTATTTCACAAGCAATCAATCTGAAATTACATCAGTACCATACCTTCCAAGATGTTTGTGCAGAAAATCCTTTATTCAGTGGCATATAAATACATATACATTGCAAGTCTATAAAGCTGTTTACCAATTATTATCATATATAAGTTCTATAAACTCATTTAAATTAAATTCTTAAGGCCATTATATTTTAAAATATTATAGATTTTACTTTAATCATTTGCATAAAAAATTGAATATTTTTATTCATATACTGACCAACAAAATGTCAAAACATTTTTTGGAATTCAGAACTTTCAAGGCAGAATTTGGTTATCTCCTTTGACACAAAGCTAAATGCTATCCATTTAAACATACCTATTTTTTTCTTTTTCAGTAGTCAATCATGAAATTATGAAAGTTATCTTTTATAATTTATACAGTTCATAAAAGATTAATTGTTCCTAGCAAAATGGGAAAAAAGTGAATGAATGTCAACAGAGAGGCTATGATATTCATATTAATTCCCGAAAAACTTTAAAAAAAAGGCCTACCAAATTCAAAAAAATTGATTTAATTCTAGTCATACATTTCTTCAAAGCAGTTCTCGCATTTAGCACTGCTGCTACTAATAATAAGCAAAATATTTATTTGAAATACTTTAATTATGCAGAGCATACTTATATCTAGCACCCTTTGTGATTTGAACTGAATACCCCAAATCAGAAACTATTCAGTGCCGTCCAAATGGTATTGTGGTGAGGGGTGTCTACTGCGATACCGAAGCGTCTGGGTTCAAATCCTGGCGAAGGCATGGTAGTAATTGTCCATCCCTTCATAGGAGGTAATGGTGGGCCACCTATTAGGTGCTTCCACTATTAGGTGACCACCGTTTCTGGCCTTAGTAGTGGCCAAACCTAACTGGCTAAGTGCATGCCAATGGGAAAAAATAAAATAAACCACTCAATCAGGATGAAATATGTGTGTGTGGAGCAACAGGAAACAAAACAGGCAAGTAGGGGTTTGTTTGTCAATGAGTTTTGTTTCCAACAAGCATAACTTAATCTTCTGGACACTGTGGCTTTATGTGCTGTCACAGTGGCACAGTCAATTTTCATCCTTCAATCAGCTCATAACATCACAATAAAGCAAGATGCCAATGATTTTAATTGGTGGGTTAAAAAAATCATTGGTTAAAATCATGCTGTAATGCTTTTAAAGAAATACTAATTACTGAATGTTAAAAAAAATAATAATAAGTTTTTAGAGAAGTAAAACTGTCTGAGATATTTTAAACAAACCATGTAAGTACATTTCAAGAAAGTATTTAATTTCCATGTTTGTTTAGTTTCAAGCAGAAATATGACAATAAATGCACTAATTCCAAAAACATAATACATAATCTAAGAAATTGCTTAAACACCATCTCCTCAAAATTCTAAAACAGACCATCACGTAATAATTTTTTTGAATGTTACAAAAGCAAGATTTTACAGTGAAGTCTGACTCATTTCATAAAATTAATGGAGAAGCTGCACCCTGGCTGTAAGCCTCGCTTAAAAGTGTTTTAAGTAGTAAATTCTTAAATAATACACTTGTTTGCAAAATTAAGAAAATTTCCAAATTATGTCTATTTTTAAGAAAAATATTGAACTAAAGGTATTAATTATGCCAAAGAATAATTATGACAATATTCAGAGTCAAACACATATGTGCATGTCTTGCAGAGCTGTGTCTGTGGAGGAGATAATAAGTGCATGAGAGGTTTTCAGCGATTTGTATGCTTGTACTCCTTTAGCACATTTGCTATATTTCTCACATGAGTTGAGTAATTTTATTAGGTTAACAAGTCAAATGAGTACCTATGAATGTATGAATGACAGAATGAGATGGAGAACTGTAGATAGATTGGAGGCAGCCAGTCACAAGCACAGGTAGCCACAGAGCTCAGTGTAATGTGCAGTGTCATCTGAAACTTGTGGAAACAGTTTCTGGACGCTGGATCTATATTGAAAAGATATAGACAAGGTTGACCAAGATCTACAATGATGAATGAGGATCATTATTTGGCACTTTCAGCACAGCAACACAGGACTGCTGCAACTTCTCAGCCCTTGTGCGAGCTGTATGCTGCCACTGGAACCTGAGTTTCATAGTCTACAGTTGTCTGAAGGCTTCATGAGATAGCTAAGTATGCCAGAAGCATAAGCTAGAAGACCCGCTGTTAACATCCATCTCATTGCAGCTAACAGAGAAAGGACATTTAGCATGGTGCAGACAATATGTGCCTTCAGTCAGACTTCAGTGGGATACAGTGCTCTTTAAAGATGAGTTGAGATTCAGCCTCGACACTGATTCTCTGTGTACCTGTATCTAGAGAGAGTCTGGAACCTGATACCATCCCTCTCTCATCATGGAAAAGGATTATTAGGTGGTGGAGGTGTGATGGTTTGGGCAAGCATTATGTTGAACTGCTGCACACCTCTGCGTGTGTTTGACAAAAGCTCTCTGATTGCTATGAGGTATATAAAGGAGACTTTAAAGCACTATGTTTGATTTTTTAGAAGCAGAGTGGTACTGAATTCCTGTTAATGGACAACAATGCTCATCCACATGGGGTTCAGATGGTAGACGGTTACCTCGAAAGTGGGGATATTCACCACAGATTAGCCACCCAGATCTCCAACTTAACCTACACAGCATGTCTGCAATGCTCTTGGGAAGGCAATTTTATCTTGCCATCTAACTCTGAAAACCATCCCAGAGGTGAAAACTGCCTTTTTGCAGGAGAGGAATTGACTGCCACAGGGACTCCTCAACTGCCATCTGTTCAGTATGACATCCCGCTGCACTACCTGTCTGGCTGTGAGAGGGGATCATGCTCCATATTACACTCATTTCAGTTCAATATCATAAAGTGGTTTTGGACATCCTTGCACTGTGAGCTTTAATGATAATCATGTGTACATAAAATGACTTTTGATGGTACATCTCTTTCTCTGTTATAAACATATATGATGATTTATTTCATGGTAGATAACTTAATATTAGAACAGCTTGATTATGGAATGTACGGATTCATTTATTAAACATGGCCAAGAAAACAACTGTAGTGAGACATTTCCAGCAGGAAGACAAATTGCCAAAAATATACATTCAAATCAAATTCCATTAAAAATTTTTCCAGTAGCTTTCAGAATTCGACATTATGTGCAAATTCTCTTAATTTTGCACACAAGTGTATATATGAAGAAAGAATACGAAATGCAGCAATGTTTTAGTTGACCAAACAGTAACTATGATAGTGTAGTTAGTTGTAGTACTATTTATAAGCTTGGAAAATCTTTGTTTTAATCCTGAGCAAATGATTTCGCACTGCAGTTACCGCAGGGAAAGCATGATGTAACATGGTGGAGGTTGTTTGCAATTAAATTTAAGAACTTAAAAGACTGTTCCAATTAAGTTTAATTTAATTTTTCTTCATATTTTTATATTCTACATATACATTCAAACCAAATTCCATTAAAAATCTGTCCATTAGTTTTCAGAATTCGACAATATGTGCAAATTCTCTTAATTCTGCGCACGAGTGTATATATGAAGAACAAATGAGAAATGTAACAATATTTTAGTTGACCAAACAGTAACTATGATGCTAGATAATATGCCTAATATCCAAAATCAGTCAACTATCTGTTTACTTGCTATATAATAGATGGAACTATATATTTAGGAGAAACTAGTAATACATCATTAATACTGTGTGCAGATAAAAATGTACTTATCATTATTTTATTACTATTAAAAAAGCTGAAAACAAATTTAAATGTAAACATAATTTATAATTCTGTAACTGATAATGCAGCAAATATAGCTAAAATGAGAAAAAAAAATGCTAGCTTTTATCTTGCGGTTATTTAGCACATACACTTATTTGCCAAAGATTTAACGTTTAGTGATGGATGCCTCAGTTACTGAACCACTCTCTTAGAAACAGCATGCTGAGAGGATACGATGTCTTGTTGGAAAGGGCAATTTGTGCTACTAAACAAAATTTTGGAAAAATATTCACATAAATTAAATTTCTAGTCCAATTTTTCCAATTTTTGGCACATGAGAGAAACACTCAGGCAGTTGTCAGAATTCATTTGAAAAATTTATCATTATATTTTCTTTGCCATCTGAAGCATAAAAAATGTTTCACTACTCAATAACAAAATACCTCAATGCTAGCTACTCTAAGAGGAATGAATAAAATTTTTAAAACAATATGACATATATCCCCATATTGGCATTTACATGACTCAACCCATGATTTCTGCTCTGATTCTGAAACAAAATACCTAAAATAAAATATACTACAATAGAATGAAGGTCATTATTTTTCAATCTCAATAAATTTCTCCCCTTTAACAGACACAAAACTACATCTGGTGAAGAAAAAAGATATTAATTAAGTGTTCTATCAAAAAGTTCATATGTGGTACACTTATCCTAACAGTCCATTTAAATGGCAATTCATGAACACACCAGCCCCGGAAGGATTAAATACACCAAATGTTACTAATGGTGCTATTCAAGTCATAAAATATTTTCAAAATCACTAGTTTATTCAAGCCAGTCTTAATGAATACAGTAGATGGTTAATTTACCATGCTGGAACTCAGTATATGATTCTCATGAAAGCTTCATAAAGAACTAGTCAATTTTCATGCAGATTGTGAGAAAACAATGATTCAATAGACAAGAATATTCACTCAAAAGTTATTAATCTTGCAGTCAAATGAAATGTAGACCTCTTACTTTATTTGAAGCCAGTGTCAATCACTTTT